TTAATAGCCCCAGATTCCGTCACAAGTCCCTCCCTCTTCCCCAGCCCATATTCCCTCCTCTCCCCAGACTCACCTCCTGGAGAACCTGTCCAAGATCATGCTTTTTCAGAAACAACATTGGTGTACAGTGGCTGAGTAAGGCTCTACCCCGGTGGTGGGCGCATCCTCCTGTCTCCAGCCATACCTGAGGTTTTCAGTCCACTATGACTTTGAGGGGGCAAACTTGGTATGGATTGCAAAGGCGTCTAGAATAGAAAGGAGAATGACTTTGAGAGAATGCATTGTCCAAACTTCTCTTGTGCGCCACCCCTCCACACACACACACACCCCGTACACGTGAGCTAGGCTTCCGAGGTTACCTTTATTCATTTAACAAACATTGATAGGGACTTCCCTGGCGGTCCAGTGGTTAGGACCCCAAGCTTTCACTGAGGAGAGCCTGGGTTCAATCCCTGGTCGGGGAACTAAGATCCCGCGTGCTGCCTGATGCGGCCCAAAGGAAAAAACACAAAACAAAACAAAAAAAACCACATTGATTTCTTGAGCACTATTGATAGACACCAGGCCCACAAAAATGGGCAGAGATGAGTTAGGATCCCCTCCTACAAGGTCTTAAAAGTTAAAGATGCCAGAGGGGAGGTGATGAGGTAGAAAGACATTCCAGCCAGGAAAAAAAAATTTTTTTTAAAGGCATTAAAAAAAAAAATCACAGAGCCCCAGAAGCCTGAGGCCTTCAATGTATCTAAACTAAAGGCCAGCACTTTGGCCACGCTGTGTGGCAGGAGACAGCCAAGGGCAATGGGATGTCCAGAGACAGTCTGGGAAAGGCAGTGAGGCCTTCATGTGCCAGCTGAGGAGGGTGGGCTTTGTACTGAGGGCAGTGGGGAGCCATGGAAGTCTTCAGAGGGAGGAGAGGGATGCAGGGTAACATCTGTGAAGATGCTCTTTGGCTGCTGTGTGCTGGGCTGCAGGTTGGACTGAGGGGGCTGAGGGCCAAGGGGGGCGAGTTGGGAATGAGAGCAGCCCTTGTCCGCCTACCAAGCCAGGTGCCCTGGCAGGGCCTGTGTTCTGTTCAAAGGCCCCAGGTCTCCCCTGTGCTACCAGCAGCCCCAGGCTATGTAATAATGGGGGGGAGAGCCCAGGGGACAAAGGGAACAGGTAAGACAGAGTGAGATTTTTCAGGGGTGTGAATGAACTGAAATCCCAAAACAGCCTCTGAGCTGGCTGGAACCAAGCAGGGCCCCCTGCAACTGGATGCAGGGGTGGGCACTTGACATTTGATTTTCATTTCCCTGATTGAGGCAGGAGATAGATGGGCTCCAGGTTAGACATTTACAACTAGCCTCCTGTTCACACTTCCTGGGGTGAGAAGAAGATGGGCTCCAGGCGGGACATTCATTACCAGCCCGGACATTCACTACCAGCCCCGTTTACATTTCCTGAAGCAAGAGACACACGAGCTCCAGGACTACATATTTATGACCAGACTCCTGTCTATATTTCGAGATCTGCACCTCGATATAGAAACCAGCAACAGAAATAGGGTAAATAACCACACATTGGACATTTTTATGGCAGGGACGGAGTGGGACTGAACTCTGTTAAAAGATCAAGAGGTCATACATTTCCTATCCTTGGAGCAAGGGAAACATTGCACATGTGCAGAAAGGCTCATTGGGGGTCAAAAATGAGGGGGCACCACCCCATAATATGTGATGCTAAGGCTATCCCATAGGCAACTAAGAAGCCCGCATGCCACAACTAAGAAGTCTGCATGCCACAACTAAGACCCAGCACAGACAAAATAAATAATAAATAAATATATTTTTTAAAAAACTGTCCTATGTCCTACTCTGTTAGGACCTTGCTAGATGGCTAGAGGCAACCTGATAAATAAATTCAAGCTAAGGTTTCCCCAGCTGATATACTTACTCTCTCAGTGGGTAAGGGGTGTTTGTGTGTGTGTGTGTACGCATACATATACATACATATGTAGCTATGATTTTTAAAGTGGAATTCTTATTTTGGAACACAAAACCATGACAGACTATGATAATAAATACTTATATATTCAAAGTAATCCTCAAAGTCAAGCTTCATGGCAGGGCAGGACCAGTGGAAAAGATTTTCCACTATAACCACATCACATTAGACCAGGGGTCCCCAACACCCAGGCCGCGGACCAGTACCAGCCTGTTAGGAACCCGGCCACACAGCAGGAGGTGAGCGGCCGGTGAGTGAGCGAAGCTTCATCTGCCATTCCCCATTGCTGGCATTACCGCCTGAACACCCCCCCGCCCTCCTGTCCACAGAAAAACTGCCTTCCACGAAACCGGTCCCTGGTGCCAAACAGGTTGGGGACCGCTGCATTGGTCTGAGTCGAAGGACAGCCTGGCCTGGCTCAGTCCCCTCCCTGGGGGACACACACAGCCTTGATGCTGGGTATTTGGGGCTTCTTTTCGGGGACCCCCAGGAAGCCCTGGCAGAGTCAGAAGCCACACTGCTGAAGGTGCCCCTGGAGGTGCTGATAAAAGGAGAAAGATTTGGCCAGCCCTCTGGGACTAGAGTTGCAAAATGAAATAGAGGATGCCTGCTGAAATTTGAGTTTTAGATAAGCAATGGATAATTTATTAGTATAAATAGAGCCTAAGTATTAATTTTTTTTTGGTTTATAATGTAAGTTTCATGCACACAACATTTTATTTCCACTTCTGTATGCACTCCAGCGTGCTCACTACCATAAGTTTAGTTTCCGTCTGGGGCTTCCCTGGTGGCGCAGTGGTTGAGAATCTGCCTGCCAATGCAGGGGACACGGGTTCGAGCCCTGGTCTGGGAAGATCCCACATGCCGCGGAGCAACTAGGCCCATGAACCACAACTACTGAGCTTGCGTGTCTGGAGCCTGTGCTCCAACAAGAGAGGCCGCGATAGTGAGAGGCCCGCGCACCGCGATGAACAGTGGCCCCTGCTCGCCGCGACTAGAGAAAGCCCTCGCACAGAAACAAAGACCCAGCACAGCCATAAATGAATAAATAAATAATTTTTTTAAAAAGTTTAGTTTCCGTCTGTCACCATACAGTCGATCCCCATTACCCATGAGTAGGTCCCAAATATTGCATTGAGCACCCTTATACTAAAAATTGTTTGTTTATCTGAAATACAAATTCATCTGGGCTGTCTGCTTTTTTTGGGGGGGGGGGGGCTGAGCCACGCAGCTTGTGGGATCTTAGTTCCCCAACCAGGGATTGAACCCAGGCCCTCAGCAGTGAAAGCACGGAGTCCTAACTACTGGACCACCAGGGAAGTCCCCAGTCTGCATTTCTATTTGCTAAATTTAGGCCTGCCTGGGTCTCCTCACAGCCAGTTCCTGGGGAAAGAACGTGAGAGGCCGTTGTGACAGCTGGTACAGCGTCCGTGGGCGAGGTGACCAGGTGCGATGCCCTGACCGTCCTCCCCCGCCCCAGCCTCAAGGTGGTCATGGAGCCAGGCCAGGGTTGGTTGGGTGAGGGAGGGGCCGTCATGGGGTGCCCTGGGCGGGGTCACACTCATGCTTGGCTGTGCCTTGGATCCAGGAACCTCCTTTGTCAGAAGAAAACCAATTTCTCAAGGACTCTTGCCTTATTCTTTTTTTTTAGGCCTCACCACACGGCATGTGGGACCTTAGTTCCCTGACCAGGGATCGCACCTGTGCCCCTGCAATGGAAGCACAGTCTTAACCACTGGACCGCCATGGAAGTCCCTGCCTTATTCTTGATTATTTTTTCCTGATCTTGAAAGAAACACACATTCAAACATCACAGGAATGTATAAGTCAGAAAGTTCCTCCAGGGACTTCCCTGGTGGTCCAGTGGTTAAGACTCTGTGCTCCCAATGCAGGGGGCCCGGGTTTGATCCCTGTTCAGGGAACTAGATCCTGCATGCCAAAACCAGAGATCCTGCATGCTGCAACTAAGACCCCTAGCAGTCAAAATAAATAAATTAAGAAAAAAAAAAAGTTCCTCCAGAGATAAAACTATCAAGTTGGAGGTGTCTTCCAGATTTTTCCTCTATAAAAATGATAATATATCATCATCATTTCCATAAACAGAATCACAGAGACTGTCCTGAAACTTACTATTTCATGTGATATCAGGGACTTCCTTCCATGCAGGTGTGCATTTCTACTTTATTGGGTTTTTTTTTAAATAAATTTATTTTATTTTTTTTGGCCGTGTTGGGTCTTTGCTGCTGCACGCAGGCTAAGCGACGAGCTGCAGTGCCCATGCTTTTCATTGGTGGCTTCTCTTATTGCAGAGCAGGGGCTCTAGGCATGCGGGCTTCAGCAGTTGTGGCACTCGGGCTCAGTAGTTGTGGCGCACGGGCTTAGTTGCTCCGCCGCATGTGGGATCTTCCCAGACCAGGACTCGAACCCACGTCCCCTGCATTGGCAGGCAGATTCTTAACAACTGCACCACCAGGGAAGCCCTACTTTCTTTGTTTTACTCTGCCTCCTTCTTTATCTCCATGGTGTTTGGTCTTTGGAGCTCTGAGCCCCTTTGAGTGTGAGATGAAGGACAAATGTACATAAGCACATCACCCAAATATTTGTGTATGACTGGGTGGCAAAGCATTACTGACCCCTTCACCCTATCATGGCAGGGGAGCAGGGGGCTGCGGGAGGATCGCAGAAATGGATCCAGGAGGCTGAAGGTCTGTATGACTTTTATTGTTGGGCTGAGGAGACCTATCTCTGGGGAAGCCTCAGTCAAAGAGCTCCTGGATCACCACCTCCATCGTGAGACCCTCTGCTTGTCTCCAGCACCCATCCCTGGGCTCCTCCTTAGGCAGGGGCCCCTCCTCTCCTAGCATCCTCATCGACATCACCTGACTCCAGCAGGGGCCAAACCCCTGGGCAACGCCAGGAGCCTCCCAGCCTCAAACGGGTTGGCCGACATTCACTTCCCCGTGCTGTCCTCCCGACCTGCTCAGTCACTAGGAAATGCCTTGGAGGCAGCGGCTGTCACAGTGACAGTGGCAGGAGGACGTGCTGCCCACCCAGCACCTCTGGGTGGCTCAGACCTGCTCCATGGAGGCCCCGGGTGGAGAGGCAGGTGCTGCTCGCCCTGGTCCCAGCCAAAGTGAGTCTGGGGTCTGGGCTGGGGGCAGGGAAGGAGTGGGATCCAGTCAGAGCTTGGCAGGGCTCTGCACTGACACTGGAGTGAGGCCAGGGTGTGAGAGAGAGAGAGAGTATGTGTGGAGTGTGTGTGTGTGTGGTGTCTAGGGGTGAGGAAGTGGTCAACAAAGCCTTGCCTTGGGAATCCAGGAGGGAAACCCGGTGCCCACAAGTCTCACTCTGCCTCACAGGCTCACTGTCCCAAGGTGGGGCGCGGGGATCATCTGGGCTGGTGACGCCCCCCTCCAGTCCTCGAGGTGGGCTGCTGTGGGTGAAACTAGGCACTGGGGCTTCATGAGGACGGCTCCCCCTGAGCTGGCCCTCGTCCTCCCCTGCCTCCCAGAAGGCTGGAGGGCCAGCCTCATCTGTAAAATGGAAATAATATCCCCCTCCCAGAGTCGCTGTCATGATGAAATGAGGAAGGCATGCAAAATGCTAAGCACATAGCTAGTGTTCAATAAAGAGTCGCTGTTATAATAATTTATCAGCTCAACACTGGCCCCATCTCACCTAGGAAGACTTTTCAGCCCTCCTTCCCCAAAATTTCCTGAAGCACCAATGGGGATGCCTTTGGTAGATAATGTCTTGCACTGTTATTTAGCTAGTTTGTGCCCAAATCAGAGCATTATTCCTTGCATTTCTTCTGCTGCCCTCTCCTCTGCCCCAGCACCCGAGACAGAGTCACGCCCGTAAGAGGAACTCAAGGATGGAGAATGAAATGGAATCAAGAGAAAGGGAGGGACGCAAGGAGGGAGGCATCAGGGAGACTGAGAAAGGGAGGTGAGAAGGTGGGGATGGAGGGCGGGTGGCATTGTCCAGACGTGAGTGACATGCCTCTCCCGAAGCACACGATGGGGAAGGGACTGCACAGAGAAGCCACCAGTGGGGACCTGGGATGTCTTTTGCATCCCATGCATCCTTTTAATTTTTCCTCAAACTCAGTCCTCCCTGCTCCCCTTCTCATCCCAAGGAGGAAAGTGCTTCCTGATTTGGCTACTATCTACTCACCCACCCAATCTATCAACTGATTCTAATGTTTTCTATACTATCAATGAAATCTCTCTCTCTCTCTCCCATCTCCCTCTCCATTCTCCTTCCCAGGTGACCTCAAACAAGTCACTTCCCCATCTCTGGACCCGGGTCTGCTCACCTATAAAACTAGATTTTCCTAAATGGCCTCAGAAGTCCTTTCTTCCCCCAGCATTCTCTTATCTAACTGCTTTACTTCTCCTTTTTAAAATTTATTTATTTATTTATTTATTTTTGGCTGCGTTGGGTCCTCGTTGCTGCACGTGGGCTTTCTCTCATTGTAGAGAGCATCGGCTTCTCTTGTTGCAGAGCACGGGCTCTAGGCACGCCGGCTTCAGTAGTTGTGGCTTGCAGGCTCTAGAGCACAGGCTCACTAGGTCTGGTGCACGGGCTTGGTTGCTCCGCGGCATGTGGGATCTTCCCAGACCAGGGCTCGAACCCGTGTCCCCTGCATTGGCAGGCGGATTCTTAATCACTGCGCCACCAGGGAAATCCCTGCTTTACTTCTCTTGCCTGTCTTGATAACTTACTTCTTAGTTACCCAAACAAGCGATTGATCATCCCTCCTTTTAAAAAAATCTTTTTTCAAGAAAACTTATAAATGTTCCCTAGGCTCTAAAGTTTCATGAAGGGCTTTTTTTTTTTTTTTTTTTATTACCCGGGCCTCTCACTGCTGTGGGCTCTCCCGTTGCGGAGCACAGGCTCCAGACGCGCAGGCTCAGCGGCCATGGCTCACGGGCCCAGCTGCTCTGTGGCATGTGGGATCTTCCTGGACCGGGGCACAAACCCGTGTCCCCTGCATCGGCAGGCAGACTCTCAACCACTGCGCCACCAGGGAAGCCCCATGAAGGGCTTTCTTGATCACTGCTTATCTCCAATGCCTGGCTCAGTACCTAGCCCGCAGCAAGCGGTCAATAAACATTTGTTGAATAATTGGATGGATGGAATTGCCACCATATGCCTGTGGGGAATAATGAGATGCAGGGGGACATTTTAGCAGTTGGTCGGCTTAAGAAAATCAAGGTCATCCTGAGAATAACCCCAGTTTAGACACTTGCAAATGTGTTATGAAACAAAAAAGTAAAAAGTCTGAGAAACTCTGGAATCACCATCTTAATGATCTATTGCCCATCACTTACCTAATCTATTGTCATCCTGTTCAGTTATTCTAATTTGATAGGAGCTGCCCTCTGTCAGGCGTGTGATATTCTTTAGTCACTTATGTAATAAGGAACATCTGGGGAGGAGAGGGAAGGCCGGAAGGCAGATGCCAGGAGGGGAAAGGGCTCAGCCGGCCTTAACAATGACACCTACCGTTTATTGAGCACTTACTGCTAGCCAGACTCTTCACTCATGCTACCTCACTTAATACTCTGGACAACGCTGAGAGGAAGGTGGTACGATTATCATCAACCCCACCTTAGAGATGGGAAATCGAGGCTCAGACAGGTTATACAGATATATCCTTGGGTATATCAAGAATTTGAAGCCAGCTTCAGAGTCTGAGCACTTGAACCCTCACCCCAGCCTGGAGGCCACACTGACCACTTCAGAGACCAAAGCTTGAAAACCCCTGCAAAGGCTTTGGTATTGCCACCAGGGTCCCCAGTCCCCTACCCCTCCCTCTACATATTTTTGCTCTTTCTTGGCAAAAATGGACTTGGAACCAAGCCAGGAGCGGGGAGAGATTCCAAAAGATTTGTGATTGCACCAACTCTAGTTTGTCCTTCCTAGTAACTAATCTTGTTCTCACTACGTCATCTCTCAGACCTGGGGGCTGCCACACAGCTCTAGTTATCAGTGTGTCCAGGGGTCTTCTGTCTACATCACTGATGGAAGAATATATCAATAACAGCAAGAGGCTGTTCTAGAGGACTTTAGATGACACAGCTGTGACACTGGGGACACGGTGAATGAGAACACTTGGACCACATCACATACCCAAAGAGGCGTTTCCCATCAAGGTTTACACCTTGGGAAACTGGACTAAATCCAACAATGTCGCCGTTGCTGACAGCATCGCTGGAGCCCCTCTTTAGCGCTCAGATAATGTTAGAAACCCACCTGTTGCATCATGGTGACTCCTTATCTTTGATTTAAAACAATCTCATGCCACTTGAGCAGTCATTTGCCTTCTCACCAGAATGGGCACCCGGTGACTTTTGGCCATTTCCAAATACCAGACGTATCCTCGAAGGATGAAAATCTGCCTTCACAGAGGTTAATCAGGTTCTCTCGCAGCCTCGGGCAGGCCTCCGGGAAGAGTCTGAAGGATGAGTGAGCTGTGATGGGCAAAGGAAGGAGCCCACAGCTCCCTGACGTGACCGCGCCGCCGGCCAGCCGTCATTTGGATGTGTAAGTTTGGAGTTTCATTTTCAAATCCCTCATTGCTTTACAGCCACACGTGGCACACAGGAATGCGGCGCAGGGGCTGCGCACAACCCAGTGGGTCGGCCAGCCCGAGCGGGGAAACGCAGCAGCAGCAGCAGAGGCTGTTCTGGAAAACGGCCACTCTGGGCACACGCCCACACTGAGGCCTGGACTGAGGCCGCGGGTGCATCCGCTTAGCCACTTGCTTCCCCTGGGAAATGGGTCCTCCGGCCTCCACTTCGGGCCTGGAACCAGGAAGCGGGAGGGGGTGACCTCACAGCCAGCGCCCGTTGGGCTGGAGGTGAGAGGCTACACCTTCCCCCGCCACCCACCTCCTTCCAGAGCCCAGCGTGGCCGGGAGCTCTCGCTATTTGTCTCCCAATCCCCTTTCCGGAAGCGGCCCCTCATCGCTTCCGGTGGGTCCGGGGTTACTTCCGGTAGACCCCGGAGGAGGAGCAGCGGGAGAGGACCCGGGAGGAGGGGCGGAGGCAGCGGGGTGCCGGGAGGCCCGGAGGGGTCCGGCAGGGGAGCGAAGGAGGGAAAGGGGCTGATGCTGATGCTCTGGCCCTTTCCGCCCACAGCCAGGGCCCTGCCCTCCCGTGCGGCCATGTCCGATGGGGAGAGCAAGGAAAGCTCGGGCGGCGAGTGCCCCGTGTGCTACGAGAAGTTCCGCGAAATGGAGGGCGCCAGCCGGACGCTGAGCTGTGGCCACGTGTTCTGCCATGACTGCCTGGTCAAGTACCTCCTCTCCACGCGCGTGGACGGGCAGGTCCAGAGGACTGTCGTCTGCCCCTTCTGCCGCTACGTCACCTTCCTCGGCAAGAAGAGCTCCTGCTGGCCCTCCAAGCTGGACAAGAGCTCTCAGATCCTGGCCGTGCCCATGGGCCTGCCGCCCGTGCCACCGCCGGACACCCTAGGCCACGCCGACTCCCTGGCCCTCTCCCAGCCTTTCTGGAGGCCGTCCCCGAATCAGGGCGTCCAGCTGACCTTGGACCCGCCGCCCGGCCTGCTCCAGGAGCCGCAGATCTTCAGCTGCCACGGGATGCCCCTGGGGAAGCAGGACAGCATCCTGCCCGGGCGCAGCCAGGCCGAGCTCTTGGAGGCCTCCCCGGTGCCCAGCTCCACCCGGTCGTTCTGCAGCCGCTCCCAGGCCCTACTGCTCATCATCCTCATTGCCGTGGTGGCCGCCATCCTGCCCTGGGTGCTGCTGGTGAGGAAGCACGCGTGAGTGGGGCACCGGCCCGAGGGCCGCTCTGGAAGCTGCCCACTCACACAGCCAGGCTGCCTGGGGGTGGGGGCCAGCCGAGCCCTGTGGGGTGGCCAGGGGCAGAGAGGGTGTTAGGGCGGTGCTGGCTGGAGGTCCAGTGGCATCTCCCCACCCCGGGCTCCTTGCTCCCAGTGCGTCTCAGGGAGAACAGGGAGGCCAGGGCTGGGCTGAGCAGCAGGCTCTGGGCTGAATGAAATGGAAACTCCAGGCTCCAGGCCAGGGAGGAAAGCGTGATGACACCCCTGCTCAGAAACAGCAGCAGGGGCATACCCTCCGGGGATGCTGACCCTTTCTCTAGGCTGGAGCCGAGCAAGGCAGGGAGATGGGCGGCTGCTCCGTCCTGTGGGCTCACCAGCCCCGAGGGGTAGTCCTCACCTGCCAGGTGACCTGCCTGAGGCCAGCTGGGGTTCTGCGTGGGGTACATCCTGGAGGGGCCCAAGGGCAGGACTCCTCCAGGTCAGAATTCCCGGCCAGGGTCCTCCAACCCGCTCCGAGCAATAAACAGAAGGGGTGGCGCAGGGGCCAAAGGCACTTGTGTTTCCTGGAGTCTCAGCCCCCATCCGTGACACCCCACAGCTGGGCAGGGGTGCCAGCCTGGAAGGTGTTCCCTGAGGGAGAAGCTGATCTCAGGGAGCTCCTGGAGGAAGGAACAGAAAAGGGGAGCGGAGGCCACATCAGGAGTCGGAAGTTTGTTGACAGAGGCTGAGGCCAGCAGAATGGCCCACAGAGCCAGAGGTCTCCCCAAGCCTCCCCGGCCCAAGAATGGTCCAAATTTTGAGTCCTGGAGTTTTCAAGGATAGTGTGGAAGGCGGGCAGTGCAGGGGAAGCCTGGTGGCCGGGACTTGAGTCAGCTGAAAACTATGTGGGCAAACGAACACCTGGGGGCTTCCTCCCAGCCCAGGTTCTCCTCTTCCTCATGACCAACCACTCATTAGAGGCCACACCAGCTGGGCCAGTTCCCGGGGTGGATTCCCAGGCTGGGCTGGGTGAGGAAGGGTGGGGAAGAAGACAGCGGTGCTTGGCAGAGACGCTTCTGTCTCAATGAACGCTGGAACCCAGCTGTTGTCGGCGCTGGCCAAGGTCACATCACCTGGGGACCCTGCCTATGCTGGGGGTCCTTGATGAGGACACTAGAAAAAGCTCAGATTGGGTCTTGTCTGGGGAGCGAGCCATTCGGGGACAGCTATTTTCTGTTTACTGAGGCCCATAAGTCAGTGGGCCATCATCTTAATTTTAGGGCTAAAACCAGCAAAAACCTCAAGCTGTTTTCTGAAATGGGTGGTTCAGAGCCCAGGTGTGCCAACAGCCAAGCTCTCCACAGCCTCTGCCTCTCCCAGCGCAGTTCGCTGTCTGTGGGGAAAGAAGTAGCGCCCTCTTACCTAGTTCCTAAAAGCCTGTAATGGTGGTCATTTGGGGACCATTCGGGGATGGGATCCACCTGCAGGGGATATTGGGACACAGAGAGAGTTGATTTAATGCACTTATGGGCTTCTTTTCAAGACTAGAGAAGAACATAGGTGCTATTGGGGGAGGTACAGGTGGATTCATGGGAAAAATGTTTATTACAGGAATTAAAATGTTAAATTTACAAAGACTCTACTGAGTCAGTTTTAACCACACCCAGACTGCTTCAAACAGTGTCATGAATGTCTGGGGACCTGCTTTTAGCCTTTTCAGATTCTGTTGTGTTTGCCAAAAGTTAATTTCGAAATACCTATAGTGTTTCCATATTGTTCAGTCGTGACTTGTAGATGGCACTCCTTTTATTTTCAAAGAATGTCAAAAGCTATATATTTTCTCAAAGATTCCAGACACATTGTAAATGCATGTGGGAAGCGATGAGCCTGGCCTTTTAGGATAATTCACTTTAAATGAAAAAGACCATCCGAAAACACAAATGCAAATGGCTCTTAAACATTTACTCAGCCACACTTGTGAAAGGAGTGCAAATTACAATTCTGCTGGCATCCCATTTTTCACCTATTAGCTTGTCTAAACTCACCCTGCTGCCAACGCTGAGGGAAGCAAGTGAGGTTGGTAGGAAGGGATACTGATAAAACCCCTAGGAGGGGAAATTTGACATTATCTATCAAATGTCCACTTTGACCAAGCAATTCCCGTTCTAGAAAGGTATGTGACAGATACACTTGCATATTGCGGCATTGACATATGTAATTGCAGTGTTGTTCCTAAAAACAAAGAATTGGGAAACCCTGCATGCCAGTCAGAAGGGGCTGGTTGTGTAACTTAAGATGCAGGAACTGTCATGCAGCTGTAAAAAGAACAAGGACGGACCTGCAAACTGACTCCGAAAGTCTCCAAGATCCAATAGCCGATGGGCAGAGGCAAGGTGTGGAACGCTGGGTATCCGATACTACAACCTGTGTAGAAAGTGGGGGCATAAGAATTTACTTTCCGGGACTTCCCTGGTGTCCAGTGGTTAAGAGTGCACTGAGAATGGACTTGAGGACACGGGGAAGGGGAAGGGTAAGCTAGGACGGAATGAGAGAGTGGCATGGACTCATAAATACTACCAAATGTAAAATAGATAGCTAGTGGGAAGCAGCTGCATAGCCCAGGGAGATCAGCTCTGTGCTTTGTGACCACCTAGAGGGGTGGGATAGGGAGGGGGGGAGGGAGACGCAAGAGGGAGGAGATATGGGGATATATGTATACGTATAGCTTATTCACTTTGTTATACAGCAGAAACTAATACACCATTGTAAAGCAATTATACTCCGATAAAGATGTTAAAAAAAAAAAAAAAAGACTGTGCTTCCACTACAGGGGGCACGGGTTCGATCCCTGGTCAGGGAACTAGATCCCACATGCCGCGTGGCGTGCCCAAAAAAATGAAAAAGAATCTACTTTCTGATCTGCTTATTTGTGCATAAAGCAATTGGGAATATTCAAAAAAAAAACTAGTAAGAGTGGTGAACTGTGGATGGGGATGAGAAAATGATGGAATGGAAAGGGAACTTCTCCCTTTGCCTTTGGTATTTTGGGATTTTTGAACCAAGTAAATGTAGGTATTATCTGAACATTGAATTGAAAAATTAGAAGCTAAAGGTATCTTCAGTGTACACACTTGTTGCCTAGTGAGGAGTCGGCCCCAAGAGCCGCCAGAATGCTTGACCCGTGGTTCCAGCGTCTCAGCTGATGTGTGGCGTTCGAGGTGTGACATCTTAGGCTTAACAGGCACCCAGGAAGGACGGTAAAATGTTTAATATTCTCAGCGTTCCTAAGTTCCTATGGATTTCTCTGGGCCCCACCATTTAATGTGCTCATTTTGATTCCCTCTTTCTCGATTTTTTTGGCCGTGCTGCGCGGCTTGTGGGATCTTAGCTCTCCAACTCCCCAGGCCCCTGGCATCGAGAGTGGGAGTCCTCACCCCTGGACTGCCAGGGAATTTCCTCTTTTGATTCCCTCTTCTCTATCCTTCCTTTTCTTTCTCAAATAAAATCTTTCGCTTTAAGCAACCACCCTGGGGTCAGGGCACTACAGGAAGATAACATAGATAGATAGGTAGACAGGCAGACGGATGCCCCGAGGTTAGACATAAACTGTCACTCCTTTCTTTCTCCCCTTGTCCAGCGGCATCCCCCGCCTTTACACTCACACACACACTCTCACACACACACTCCCTTTGCCACCTCCCATTACAATAACCTTTAACTCTCATACACAGTCTAGGCCGACCCAGCGAGCCGAAGGATCCATACTTCACTGGTGGGCCCCGGGCCAGAGCTGCCAGGAGTCTGGGCAGGCACATCAGAGACCGCTCTGCCCCTCGGCCCGTGACCTCTGCCCTCAGTGAAGCCTGAGGATGCGGGCAGCTCTTCTGCAATCACCACTTCTCTCTTTGACCTTCACAATCCAAATGTCCTTTTTTGATACAAAATAAACAACCTTGGCCCACCCTCACAACTTGTCCCTTTCCTTCGTCCTCCTCAAACCCAGAACAAAGGAGCACCACAACTAATTCTCAACACAAACTACTGGCAGTTCCTACAAGCAATGCTGGTGCAGGCCTCCGGGCTCTCGTTTGGGTAGCTCTCTCCACCTGGAACACGCTTCCCCCATTGTCTACCTGGAAAACTCCTACCTAGCTTTCCAGAAACAGTTCATGGGTTACCTGTAAAACCTCCCCCAACCCTTACCTTGGTTAGAATTGGCCGCACCTGTGCTGTGTCCCCTGCTGCATTCCACCATCTTCCCGAGACACTTGAAGATGGCGTGTTTGTTGACAAGTCCGTCTCCTCCTTCTAGACAATGTGCTCCTTGACGAGAGGCTAGATCTTAACTGATCTTGCTAAGATCATACCAAGTGTCTGGCACAGAATTTAGGAAAGAGTCGAAGCTGGATAAATATTTGAAGAATGCATGAGTGAAGGAATGAATGGATGAACAAATGAACAAGTAAACATGACGGTTTGTGGTCCAGAAAAAAAGTTTAGTCCAGGGATGTAGGCATGAAGCCTGGATAATACCTACTTTGGTGTGTCTTAGGGCTACACAAAGACCACCCTCAAAATGACCCTAAGGAGCCAATTTAAAAGGACTCACTTGGGGACTTCCTCGGAGGTCCAGTGGTTAAGACTCAAAAAAGAAAAAAAAAAAAGGACTCACGTAAGAAGAATGTGGAGAGAGGACAGCCAGGCGAGGTGGCCAGAGGTTCGTGTAGGGTGGAGCCATGATGCCCAACAGACACTTGTGAAGATAAACAGACTGTATAACTAGGCTAGCAGTCATCTGCATCAGTGGGTACAATTTCCAACAGTCTTCACACTGTATAAAGTGGTTATGCTTCCACATGGTGGGTGGGCTGGAGTTTAATTTCGATGACTGTGTTGGATGGAGGGAGGGAGGCCTGAGAGGCTTGGGTGACAGTGGAGAATGATGGGGAGGCTGAAGAAACAGAGAGGACCTTTGAGAGGACCCCAGAGAGAAAGATGATGGGGAGGCCTGAAGAAGAGGCGATGAAGGAAACTAGTAAAGACAATAAG